CATACATACATACATACATACACACACACACACACACACACACACACACACACACACACACACACATATTTATATATATATAAAATACAGGATAACATTAGAATAGTAGGTATAATAATAATGGCCTGCACTGTCACATATTGTTGAGCAACTGAATGATGGAGAAACTTAATTCAGAGCATAGAGTACCTTTCCATAGAACGCCATAGCTTGCAAGTGTAAAGGAATGAGATAGAATCTTCTTATGCCTTCAGACACAATATTTTTCAGTGGACTCCATTCATACAAGAATGCTCCACTCTGTTACTCCTGGCATCAAATCAACTGCTCCAATTTCCAATGAGGGCAAATTCTGAAACTCAACTACATATTATCTCTGCTCTGATAAAAACAGTTATATGAAGCCAAATCAAACAATCTGAAGAAGCACAGAAGTTTAAGTAAAGAGGAGAAAAGAATCACATTTGGCCTCTCTTGTTTCTTATTGTTTTGGCTGAGATCCTAGCAGGATTTCATTGTGACAGTCATCGATTTATGGCTAGGGTAGACAGAGTTTTCACTTCCAGCAAAACATTCTCCACTTCTAATCTAAATTGACGTTTTCCGGAAGACCGATCTTGAAGAAAGAAGTGTGAACACAATGAAAGCTGTTTTATTCCCCACCCCTTTCTTGAGTGTTTAGGGTTCAAATTATAATCTTCTTCATGACTCCTTTATGGCTTTATCAAAACTTAAACAAATTGTGATCTAGTGATATTAAAGTTGCATTGCAAGTTATACAGTATTTTTTAAAAAATCAGATGAAGCTAGGAGCTTCTATGGTTGTGCAGGGTTTTGAATTCAAAGGTTTAAAAGAGATGCTTGGAGCATGCAAGGATACTCAAGCAGACATCTTTCTGCTTTCTTCTAAATATGAAGTTGTGTCGAGTTTTTTTCAATATTAAGTTTGCCAGTTTTCAATTGAATTTCATGGCAACAAGTTTCACTGAGTCGCAACTTCATATTTCCAAACTTGAAGAGGCCTGGGAAGATGGATCAATGGGATGGTGGTCAGAAGTGAAGTAAAACAGATAAGTATGTTTCTTCTTGCAGATTCCTGGCTTATGGAGGGAGACAGGAAAAAGCTATATACTTGCATTTATGTCTTTTCACCATTTAAAAAAAATGTATATGGATATTTTATTTTCATAATTATATATACAGCTTGAAGATCCAGAGACGGAACAAAGAGGACTTCCAGGCACCTCATTGGATATACTATATTATATGATGAAATGATATTATATGATCCATTGTGCTTACTGTATTTGTTGGAGTATAAGATGCACCAAGATTTTGAAGAGGCAAATGTTAAAAAAAGGTTTTTGCACTCTGCAGACTTCTCAAAAATGGCCCTTTTTCGCGAAAATGGGCCCGTTTTTTGTCAAAAAAGGGGGGCATGCGTACCCCTTAGGAAGCTTGTAGAGTGTTCCTAGGAACCGGGGGGGGGGGGAAATGGCTTGTTTTTCGCTCATTTTTATCCTCCCCAGCCCCCAGGAGCACTCTGAAAGCCTCTTAAAAGCTATGCACAGCCATTTTTGCAAAGGGGGTGGGGTTTCAGGAGGCCAAAAATGCTGTATTCAGTGTATAAGACTCACCCAGATTTTCAGCCTCTTTTTGTGAGGGAAAAAGGTGCGTCTTATACTCTGAAAAATATGGTAATTATGGCATAATTAAAAGGAATTATCAGTAGGACAAAACAGGAAAAGCAGGACTCTGATCCATTCTACATATAGCTAGTCGTCAACTTACAACAGTTTGCTTAGTGAAGTTACAGTGGCACTGAAAAAAGTGACATGATCATTTTTCACACTTGCAATCATTGCCACATCTCCATAATGTGATCAAAATTCAGATGCTTTGGCAACTGATTCATATTTTGGATGGTTGCAGTGTCCCAGTGCAGTGTCCCAGGGTCATAAGATACAGATAATCTTCGACTTATAACAATTGAGCCCAAAATTTCTGTTGCTAAGCGAGACAGTTATTAAGTGAGTTTTTGTATCCTTTTCATGACCTTCTGACAAGCAAAATCAATGGGTAAAGCAGATTCACTTAACAACCCTGTTACTATCTTAACAAATGCAGTGATTCACTTAAAAACTGTGGAGAGAAAGGTTGTCAAATGGGGCAAAACTCCCTTAACAACTGTCTCACTTAGAAACAGAAATGTTGGGCTTGATTGTGGTTGTAAGTCAAGGAGTACCTGTATCTTACACATTCCTTTACTTCTTGTAGTACAAGCAAAATAAATAAGAATAAAAATGCGCAAAATGATTTATCTGGCCGTTTTTTTGTATTTTAACAGTATTTATATATACAAAATAGTTTCCATTTACATCAGCCCCATGAGGCAGTTTGCAAGCTGAGAGATACAAGTTTATCCCCCAGCAGTTTAGTCATGTATGCCTGGATAAACAGGGAGTGAAGCTTGGCCTTGTTACACACATTTCATTCCTGTTACATGCAACTGAATTGGTCTTTGCAGATAGTAGATTTTATATTAGGCAAAGGTGAACTGAATGATGATTGATATTTTATATTTTCCTCGGTCACAATACGGATGTACCTGAAAGATGACTAGCTGACTTCATTACAGTTACAAAGCAGTTCCAATACATCTATATGTATACATACATATACATATATATTCCATAAGTGTGGCAAGCAAATAGGTCTATGTATCATCTATGTATTTTGCAGATAAACTAGATAGTGGTCAGTTATTGAATTAATACATGGCAAAAAGAAAGGAAAATATATCTGTGCTATGACATATTTTAAATTATTTCATGACAACACTGGAAATAATTCCTTTATCCAAAACTATTCCAAGTAAAAGTCTTGCTGGTAGTGATGAGAATTTGGATGGGGCCCATGGACGAGAGGATTGATTTTCCTTCAGAGACCCTCTAAAAACTTCCAGTTTAATTGTAACTGTTAAGGTGGCAGGAGGGAGAAATTGTAAAAGCACAGAAAGTACTCATGTTACAGGAATGGTATTTAGTGCAGCTGTGCAAAGCGTTCAGAAAACGTGTGTCACACAATATGTCAATGCAATCCTTCAGAGCATGTTAGTAACAGTTGTACCATTTCTGTTTTGATTGCTGCTTTCAGTAGGAGGAGAAGCAGATCCAGATAGTACAGATTGACTTGAGGGTTGGAATTTCTGTTGTAAGTCATGATGACCATAAGCTGAGGCACCCACATGACCAAACCTGATTTTATGATTCTTATGTGGCGACTGTTAAGCAAATGCCATAATTATCAATAAATGCAAGTATGGACATTATTACTGGAAACTGACAGAAAAGATCAGAAACCAGCAAAAAAGCATTATAAATTGCAGTCACATGATCAGGGAGCCCTTCAACCAGTTGAACCAGTTGCCAAGCACCCAGGGTGCAGTCATGTGACTGTGGAGATGTGTGCAGTTATCAAAACTACAGAACCGGGTCATAAGTAGCCTTTTTTTTTTAGGGGTGGGGGGTTTCTATCATAACTTTGAACGGTTGCTAAGCAATCAGTTGTCAAGTGAGGGCTACCTATACTGGGGAGGTGAAGTTCTGAAGTGCTGACAGAAGGCAGAATTTGCTTCTAAGCCTACAAGCTTCTCTTGATTCTTTCCAATTATCTCTGCAAGGTTAAATCATGCAAATCTTTATGTGAGTTTGTCAGCACCTAACGATTTATTGTTACTGTTAAGTGGCTGAAAAAAACTTCCCCGCCAAGTTAATGTAAGAGAAGTTCCAATAATTATATATTCACTCTATACAGTATTTCACCCCACTTTTGTCTATTTGTATTGTATCTATTTATTTGCATGTTGATGTGTTTCTATGCTTTCTATAATGCATATGGCACCTTTGTTCAGCAGTAATTTAGCTAATAGTGTCAATTATCTTCTTGCAGCTTTTTTCCAAAGATCTTCCTACAAGAAGAGGCTGCTGGATTCATGGGTGCAATTGTTTTTCATTTTCAGGACAGAATGCTTTTCGTGGACATCCAACAAGAGGCAATGATTGCAATCTAGGTGAGGCTGTAGAACATCTGGCATTGGCAATATGCATGCAGGTTAGTAAGTCCCGTGGTGACTCTTTATGTAACAGGAACAAAACAAACGGCAGGTTCACGGTTCAAGCATTCAACCAGCATGGAAGGTAAAGGATAAGGAAAGAAAGATATCCAAACCCAGGTTAAGATTAAAAATACTAATAAAATACTTATGGTCTGAATTTGTCTGGGTACCAGTGATAATTTCTGCTTATGTGCATTTTTTTACAAGATTCATTTTGCATTTCCTCCCCAGATTCAATACCAGCCTTACAATGGTATTAAGATGCCTTTTTTGTGCTGAGTCTTAACACTGTGCACTGAGGAATAGTAATAACATGAAACAGGTAGAAAAAAAGATATGTAAATTGAAAACATGACAAAGTGCCTCAAATTTCAAAGGGATTATAAAAGTCAGGAGGCAAATGGAACAGACTTGGAGGGTACAAGTGAGTCCTTCTTGCTTAGGCTTCCTCCCCAATAAAATATCTTTCATATCCTCCAGTTGTGAAGAAAAAAATAGTATCTGGAAGTATGTATCTCAAAAAGTGAGATTGAAACTATATGTTGCAATTGTACTAAAGCCAAGTATTTTTATCTCTTTTCTTCTTGAAAGAACTTGGTAAAACTCAGTGAGCTACAGATAATAGCAGCCCAGCAGTCTAAGGAATGGAATCTCAGTTGCTTGAATCTACAGCCCGTTTCACCTGTTCCCAGGTAGGAACTGCATAGCAAATTATTTCCCAGCAAGGCTCTATGTATTAAAGCAAAATATTTGCTAAATTGTGAGTATAATTTGCTTGTCTTGTTCAATTTATTCTAATTTCTCTTGCTGAAACAAAACCCTAAGGCAGACAAGATGGCATTAGTCAAGTCATTAGTAGTTGCCTTCAGTTTTTAATCTGGCAAAATTGTATTCTTTTTATAAATGTGGACTAACCAGCACCTATCCAACCCTGAGTGATCTTTAAAAAGCTGCAGGATTGAGCCTGGTTATTATTTTAATTGGAATCACTAGGAATTCCCAGGACTACAGATTAGATTGGAAAATTAGAAGAAGAGCTCAATAGCAAACCACTTCCATATTGTTGCAAAGAAAATTATAGGGTCATTTCATGAAGTCATCAGGAATCAAGCTGAACTTGAGGGAGATTTTGCTTTTATGCATGAGAACTGCATATTTGTGATAATTTACATACATACATACATAGTTCTTTTTGTCTCAAGATTCAGACTGTGGTTCAGGACCTTCATAGTTGGATGGAGGAAGCTCAGGAAAAGAGTACCGTATTTTCACGACTATGAGCCGCACTGAAAATCCTAAAATTTGATCCAAAACCGGCAGTGCGGCTTATAACC